GTAATACATGTCTCATTTTATATAGAATAAAGATCAAGTACAAGGCACGTAATCACCGACCATACAAGACTAAAAAGATAGGAAAATCCTATGCAAAATACCAACGTCTGTCCATCCGTACTTTCCTTTTGTTTGTGCACGCTTCTGTATGTAGTCTGTGCATACAAGCAATTCTGGTACTAGTATAGTGTTCTTTTCAGGGGGAAACTCGGCAGGACAGGTAATTCCAGAATGCAAATCAGCAAGTAAAATTTCAAAGACAATTTTGAAAATTCAGTGGAAGTAAAAAAATGGAAGACAAGACGAACATGGTTTTGAGACCCGCTAATTAGAAAAAGAAGCCGTCTCGCGGAAGGGGATGAAAACCCCAATCAGGTCGGCCTCTCAAACAGTGCCCGGCCGGGCTCCATCCAATCCAGTGGGCCGCCGCCGCAGCATGCATCCTCAAATCAAAATAAAGAAAAAGTAGACAGTGACGATGATTAAAAATCTGCTCATTTTGCTGGCTAGGCTAGGAGCCTGTGGTGCTTGGCAGCGGTAGGATCCAACCCGAAATACCAAGCAGCGTCGCCTGCTCCGTGCGACGTTCCCTCGCGCCCCATTCCACGATTTAATGATTGGTTCCATGGGCAAAGGCCAACGCAACAGCAGCTCCATCAGAACCATCGTTTGTATATTAGCTTGTTGGTAAAATATCCCATGTCACTAATTAATATCTTAACATACAACAAATTCAATGGATTGAATCTAGTTTGCCTAATAAGATGTGAAAAAATAAATAAGGTGCTCTCTCATTCTACATTGAAACTTGTGCAAAGGGTGTTGGTTCAAGTACATACAACCTTCCTCTCTTCCCTTATTTATTGTACGACACATTATCAAAAAAAATCATGTGGCAAAGTCTATCAACAACTATCTTAAAACCATTGGAGATGCCCTCAGCCCAACTCTAGCGCACGACTCCAAACAGACGTTCGTTTTGGTCTGTTTTCGTCCATTTGGTACGGCAATGGGGCGGTCCATGTCCGTTTGGGTTCGTTGGGTTGTCGGTGCGCTCAACGCGCGTCCACACCCCAAATCATGTCCGGGGTGAACGTGATTAAAAAAATGCAAAAACTAAACTAAAATGCGAAAAATATGAAATAAACGCAAACATTAAAACATAAACATAATTTGGAGTTACAACCACAAAACGGCCCAAGTTCCACGGTTCACAGCCATAATTAACATGAAAAAAAGAAAACAAAACCGCCGCCTGCGCGCTCCCGCCGTGGCCGTCGACGTCTTCTCATGCGTCGTCGTTGTCATCATCGTCGCTGACGAGGTCGATGTAGGCCGGCGGCATCCAGAGATGGGGCGACGATGCGTGGTAGATAGGAGCCTGCTGGAAGGTGGGAGGTGCCTGCCCCACCTCCTCCCGTGGCGACGACTCGCGCTCCGATGACCGTGGCGGCGTGAGGCACCAGTTCACGACCCCACGGCGTCGGCCATGTCCGAAGCCTTGCACGGCCAGCTCCACCGCTGGCCCACCAAGCCCAGGTGAAACGCGGCGACGGGCTCCTCCTCCCTCCTCTCCTCCTCCTTGAAGACCATCATCTCCAGCTCGGAGAAGGCGACGTCGCCGGCGGCAGAGAGTGCCAGCGCCTCCTCCAGGCCATCCCATTGGCGCTCGTCGTGCGTGTTCATGGAGTCTTCCATGACACGCCGAAGGAGCCGAGCCTCCTCCTCCTCTGTCATGCGAGGAGGTGGCGGTGGCGATGGAGAGGGCGTCGGCGACGGCGTCGGCGTGATGCCGCGCACCACCCTCCGCCCGCGCACTTGGGAGAGCTCGGAGCGCGCGCACGGTGCTCACGTGGCCGCAGCGGCCCCAACGAGGTGCCGATGAAGAAGAAGGCGCGCCTCGTGTCGTGCTCGTCCTGGAACAAAGTGTCCCAGAGGGCCGAGTTGACGACGTACTTGGGTTCGTAGTAGAGGTCGTCTGGCAGGAGGTGGCAGCGGCTGCGTTGGATCTCCTCGCGGCGCGCACGGCCGCTCAAAGGCACCGGCGGGATCGGCACCCGATCCGCGGACAAGTGCCAGTTATTGGGCAGGTGCATGTCGCTCCAGGGGAGCGGCTTCCTCATCTTCCAGTAACGACGGCACACATCCGCGTTGATGTAGTGCCGGTTGCGCTCGCCGCCGGTCATAGGGGCGATCAAGAATGCAGGAGGTGAGGGGCCCTGCGTGGTGGTGATGCGGGCTCCTCTTTGATGTCGCGGCGGCGGCGGCCCGAGGACGAGCCAGCCTCGTGGTCGTGCGTCCCCTTGCGGCCGAAGCTCCAACGCACCATGTCTGCGGGCGGCCGACGACCTCGAGGAAGGGAAAGGAGAGCTAGGGTTTAGTGTTGGGTTTTGAGGAGGCCGCAGGCGAGTGGAGTGGGAGCATGGACTGCGACCGGTCCACGGCTTCCCATTTAAGAAGGACGCCAACCGCGCGCCTGGGTGGATGACAGGTGGGGCCGGCCGTGCGTGCGCATTAATGTCGGGGCAGTGGGAGCTAGGTGGTCGCCTGCCACGCGGCTCCGAAGTGGACGAGCGGCACGTCCGTTTGCTGTCCGCCGCGACCCAAACCCGGCGCATGTTTGCACTCGAAATGGGTCGGCCCAGACATAAAATGGACCAGATGGGTCCAGACCGTCGCGCGCTAGGCCGTGGGGTTTGTCCGTTTTGCCTCGAATGGACGGGGCCGGACGATATGGGGTCGCGCGCTGGAGTTGGCCTCACCTCCTATTGAAATGAAAACTTGGAAAATATCCCAGGGTGCAAGCAGCCGCAAAACAATTTGTTATCAGGCCCGAATTTCGCCATGTTTGTCTGTGCTACTAGCACAACATTTCTTTATGTTTGCCTCGTCGTCAGTTGCCATTCGCCCTTTGCACCCCACCCTCGGTGAGCTCTCTCCGGTGATTCTTCCTTCCTCCCTGATTTCATGGCAGGAAAGGGCGAGGTGACGATGCCCATGGCCCGTCCAATTTGACCCATGCCATCCTGGACCTATATCAGACACGGACACATACTCTACTACTAGTACTCGTCTCAAACCACGCTCCCTCCCTCCCTCTCAGGCCATCTCCACCGCGCGACCCTAAACGGATGTTCGTTTTGCCCAGATTATGTCCTTTTGGGTAAGGCAATGGGGTCGTGTCCGGGCAGTTTCTGGTATGGGGTGGCCATGTGCCCAGCGTGCGGACGCATCCCGACCGCATCCTGTCCGCTTGCATTTTTCTTTGCAAGTCCTTAACTTTTTTTCATCATTTATTTTTGGTACATGACAAATACATATCACATTTTGACTAGTAAAGCAAGGCCAAAGAAAATAAAAACCACAAGAATACATTTAAGAAGATACCCAACTTCCATAACTGCTCCCTTGAGTTGGGTTAGGGCCTTCTCGATGCACTCATTGTTGATCTGTGGAGGAGGTTCGATGTTGCACCCTCCTTTCTTCTTCAAGCCAGAAGTCGATGTTGCTTCCTCACACCTAGTCTCGTGTCTAGCTTCTAATCTAGCAACAAGTGCACTTGTCTCATCTACAACCTCTATGCTAGCTAAAAGTGCACGAACATGTACTAAATTTTGCTCTATCAATATATCGATGTACTCTTCTTCCCAATACCAAAACTTGCATCCATTCTACACAATAAAAATTTGAAATTAGCACAGCTAGTCTAATCCGAGAGCACAAACCGAAGCTAAAAAGAGCACATACCCATCGTTTAAGCACCTGATGAACACCCATCCGGGATGTTTCGGCGTTGTAGACACGCGGCCCACGACCATCCTTGGGCAGTGGTCGCACTTAATGAGTGGCAACGGTGCGCCGACGAGCTTTTGGGCAAGCACCAGGCCCAGTCGGCCGCCATTCGTGTATCTGCTGGCGGACCACCGACGGTGCAGATCCGAGCGGCTAGAGGAGGAGCCACTGCCTGCATGTGGCCTTCCGGCCCTGCCAGGGCCTTCTAGCAAGGTGCCCGGCCAGTCCATGGCGCGGCCTGGCCTCCCACAGCCGGGCGAGCTCAAGACCGACCGAATCCACCCCAAATCCGGTCGGCGGGTGCGCAAACCAGTTGGCCATGGTTTGGTAGCTCGGCGGCGCCGAGGGGAAGGGCTGGGCGGGCGCGCGTCCGAGCTGGACAGCTGCAATGGCAGCGGCGGCGGCGGCGAGGGTAAGAGTGGAGAAGAGTGGAGTGGGGTGCGGCCGGAGGGAGGAAGGGGGCAGATAAAAAAAGGCCCGCCCTATGCCACCGACGGGCGGGGCAGGAGAGGACACACGCAGATGGCCGACGCGTTCGCCTGGTGTCCGTTTCACCTTAAAAGCGGCGCAAACTTGGGCCGGGGATGGGTCGAAAGCGGACACAAAACGGACAAAAGTCTATTTGCTCCCGCGCGCTGGGCTGCCCGGTATGTTCCTTTTAACCCAAACGGACGGGGCCGGACAGGATGGGGTTGCGAGATGGAGATGGCCTCACAACCTCGTCCCGTCTTATGCTTTTAGCTCGCCTGCAGTGGGAGCTTTTCGATTTGGTTTAGGTACTTCTTTATTTCCCACTCCCCACTTTCTCTCCCTCTCCCCTCCCTCCTTCATGCGTTGTCACGCACACCAAAAGCTCCTGCCTTTGCCTAATCTCAGCACCACCCTGCTCGCCCGTAGTGGGATTTGGTGGGAGCTGCTCAAGCTACTTGCCTCCCTCGCGCGCCTCTCTGCTCCCACTCTTCGGGCCTGCGTCACTCTCCTCCCGTCACTGCACCGCACCGCACGCACGCGCGCGCAGCAGCTGGCGCGGAATTGAGACGATTTCTTGGTCTGCGGTTGGATTGGCTGGTTGCGGCAGCTAGGGCGCGGGGAGCGGCGACGGATCTTTGCGGAATTCCGGCGGGGGAGGATGGGAGATGAACTGCGGCCCGCCGGACCAGCTGCCGCCGGCCATGAAGGGCTTCCTCAACCTCAACTAGGACAGCTCCATGGACGCGGAGGGCCACCCCTCGCCGGCCTCCGGCTCCGCGGCGGTCATCGAGGGGCTCGCGCTCCACGGGATCTCGCCGCGGCTACAGCCGCAGCACTACGACACCGGCACACCGCTCGGCTCACCCACCAAGCTCAACCTCTCCATGATGGGACAGTACCGCCACCACAACCACCACTACCCGCCGCCGCCACAGGTGGGCGGCGCCGGCCTGCCCACCCTGGAGAACCTGATGCCCATGGCCTCCCTGGACCAGTTCCTCGCCGACCGGGGCTACGCCAAGCTTGGTGGCAATGTTGTCGATGATGACCAATTGTTGATGGTAAACGTGTACAGGTTGGGGCTTTGTTGCAAGATCTGTAGAGCATGGTTCAGATGGACATCGGGCAGAGCCACGAGATTTTTGGATAAAGGGAATATGATATCACAAAGATACCAATTACATCTGTCCTCTGTACCAACAAGATGCCCAGAAACATCAAGGATACACACAACCAAAAAATGAAAAAAAAGAAAGAGAAAAAAAGATCCCGCCACGATGAACAATCACTAGCAGCAACAACACTCTAACCACCACCAAAGACAACACCCAGAATGTGAAAGAGGTTCTCCGAAGCAACATCTCCAAGAAGGAAACAATGCACAAGTGTTGTCGTCGCCCGATCGAAGATCTTGGGTTTTCACCCGAAGAAAGTCTGAGTTCACGCAAAACAATGACTTCAAGAAGATCATTGCCAGGTACAACACATAAAGGCCAGACCTTGGGTTTTCACCCTAGGATAAGACTCGGTACTCTAGGAGCACCACCAAAACCGCAGTCCTCCAGTGTTGTCGATGTCGATGTCAAAACCGGCAGATCTCGTAGTAGGGGTCCTAAGCTAGGCGTCTTGGAGCGATGGTAACATGGACACATGATTTTACCCACATTCGGGCTCTCTCAAGGAGATAATACCCTATGTCCTGCTTTTGATTGTATTGATATGAGGATAGTACATAGTACATGTATCTACCACAAGATTGTAGTAATGAATATGAGATTATCTATTGACTAGCCTGACCTCGGTTTATATATGCACTGTAGGCCTAGGGTTTAGAGGAGTCCTTGTCTTGTGCGCCAAGTCTTGTGGAATCCTCCTTGTATTCGACATGGGCTGCCCAAAGTGGCCCATCAGTGAATCATCATGGGGTCCTCGGCCCTACCCACTGATCGGGAGACGACGTGGTGAATACCCCCTAGTCCAGGACACTGTCAGTAGCCCCCTGAACCGGTCTTCAAGTTGAGGATGCTCCTCGGTTCTTTTGAATAATTCTTTGTCCTCGATCGTCGGTCTTGAAAAACTGGTTCAACAAATCTTCCCATGTCCGATGTTGATGATCACCGAGCTGAATCCGATGAGTTTACATGTTGGGCATCCGAGGAGCCCTTTTAAGTTATCGGCCTTTATCAACGCCTTGTAGTTTTTTACGCCACACCTGGGGTTTGAAGTGTTTCCCGTGCGACGGCGTCCTCTTGCGTCCGAGCTCTAATGCCGAACTAAATCCGAGGCGTCTTTTCACAGCCGGGCTCCAACACTATTCGGCATTCAAGGTATCCTCTTGCGTTCGAGCTCCAACACCGAACTAAATCCGAGGTGTCTTTTCACAACCGAGCACCGACGATGGTCACCATTCGAGGTATCATAGATTACCTTGGCCTCTGAAAATTTGAGTGAGTTCATCCGAGCTTAAATGTCGGAGTAGTCTTCTATGGAACGAGCCATTCAAATCCAAGCTTTATGCTTGACTGCTTCCGAGCTCCAACGCCGGACTCATTGTTGAGGAAATTGTTAACTGGTAACTGCTCGGTTGGCTGGCGGGTAGGGGATTAATAGGCTAATCGGCAAGTTAATCGGCCATTTAATCAAATAATCGGACGATTTATTGGTTTATCGGCTACTCAGTGACCCTAGGAATAGGGGTTAACCGGCAAGTTAACTGGTTAATCGGACGAATTGTTGAACAGGGGCCGGACTTCATCCGAGCTCTAACGATGGTCAAAGTCTGAGGTGTCATAAACTACCTCGGTCTTTAAAAGATTGAACAAATTCAGCCAGGCTTAATGCCGAAAAATGCCCTCTATGGAGCCAGCCACTGGAGTCCGAGCTTTATGTCGGACTTCTTTCGAGGTGGTGCACCACCCCGACTGCGGACTGATGTTTTGTGAATATTTTTTATTGGTGCAATTTATTCTCTGCCGAGATATATAGCCACTAGCCCTCAAGGTGTATGTCGGTCTAAAACCCGAGATGCACCTGAAGGATGACATAAGAGCATTGATCACAGTAGCCCCTGAGAGTCAGGTTGATTCGCAAAATCGGCTTGAGGATCAACTCCTAGCTCGGCAGAATACTTCGGGACACAAAAGGCGGTGTGCACAGTCCTCAAGACTCAGGTTGGGTGCGGCCGACCAACCCGAGGATCATAATCTCCTCGGAAACTATATTGCACTTACATTTTCTGCATTGGATTGTCAATGTAGTAGCGCCCGAGAATTGGGTTGGGCAACATGGCCGACCCTAGGATCGTACCTCCTCGGGAACAAGTTCAACTGTCATGCATGTTTTGACAATACCGAGGTGAAGTTTAGCACAAAAGATGCCAAACTGTAGTTTTTTACAAAAGAGTTTGTCGAACACCTCAACCAAGAGAATGTCCCGCTTCCTGAAAGGAAAACATAAAATAGGTGAAAGATGTTATAAGCTCAAAAGACCAAAAAACATGCGTAAAAAACTTTACGTCTAGATTGAATCAAGTTGTTTTGGTGCCAATACGAAATTCGTCTTAAAATTGTACTTCCGTCGTGCTTTGACATGACACATTCAATCTCTAGACTTCAAGTGGCTCAGCCTTCGGCTTCAACCTCCCTATCCCGAAGGCGGAGTGTTTCTCAGGCCAGTTTAGTGAACTAAACGTGAGAGGCTTTAGAGAGAAACCAGGCTACCCGGCTATTGATCATACACCTGAGTCGAGAAATTAGTGGTAGAAAAAGACTTTGCAGCGACTAAGAGGAAAACATCTATTATAAAACGGCTCATATTAATTTAAGAGCCCCCAAGTGACTTGGGTAAAAGTTTTTTATGTATAATGATTGTATGTACCGAAGTACTTATATAATATTTGCGTTCCCCGAACTTTGAATGCGTCTTAACCGACCGTCGGCTTCTCCCTCTTCAGCCAAGGGCCGAAAAGTGTTATCTACTCCGCCTATCGAGAATATCGGCGGTGTTTCGGATAACCAGGCAATCATGCCATGAGGCTGTAACAGATAAAGCGTGCCCATGAAACTTATGCTATATTACTTGTGTAACGTAAGAAGCATCTTCAAAGAAAATAGTGCCCCTAACGGTACCTTTCTTTGGTCGCTCATGATTACTATGAGACTTGTGCAATAGATTTGTGTACGCGTGAGTTCAGTCATTTGCTGACCATAGTTTAAAACAATAAGAGCGCTAGCTTTCGGCTTCACCCGTCTGAGGTACGAGTTCGGATGACCCGGTTGTAACAATCGCAGAGGCGCTCTCTTTACTCGCTAGCCGAACAATCGGAAACGTAGGGGTAAACACAGGAGCCAGGCAACCCAGCTTTGTGGAACACTTAAGTCAACATGATACATATTTTGGCATAATAGACGAACAAGGAATGGTGCGATACATTAATAATCATATGCAAGAAGAATGACTTCATAAAGGAAGCCCCCAAGTAAACGGGGTATTTGAATTTGTTTGTAACCAACAAGGTTTTGACAAAGAAAGTTATTCGCAAACGACTTTATCAAAAAAGTATAATGCTTGGTCGAACCGAACAAAATTTAAAACTGAAAGTTTTTGAGCATGAAAGAGACTTAGCTGGTTAATGTGCTCCGTGTGACATGGGCCGAGCTTGTAGCGGCTCGAGGTCCCAACCTCCAAGCCGGTCCCAAGGTGGTGGAGCGAAGAGCTCGACACTACGAAGTGGTGACATAGCACGGCCAATGCAGGCCAGCAGTGTGACACCGAAGTCCCCGACGTGGGTTAATGAAGTGACGACGAAGCCCCCGGTCCAGCCGAGGTGACGTGGTGCGTCGGTATGCCGAGGTGACAGTGCTGCCCGACCCGAATCATTTACCTGTGCACAGAAAATAGCGCAAGCCAAAGATAATAGTAATAATAATAAATTAAAAAAATCATTGCATAATTAATAATTTATGCAAAGTGAGTAATAAAAGAAATATGGCCCGTGTGCCGAACACCGATGAGGTAGAGCTCTTTCAGCGATGCAGTCCTCGAGGCAACCGAACATGTCGGTATGGCAATTCGACCCACAAGGTGATCATGCAAGCCGATTTATGCCGATTGGGACGACGACGTCGGCTTGCGAAGTGACCGCGTGACGCAGCTGAAGTCGATTACCTACACATGTAAAATAGTGCAGCCAAAAAAATAATAATATACATATATAAAAAAATCCTCGCATAATTAATTTACGCATAATAATATTTTTTAAAGAGATATAGCCTGGCGCCGAAATCAATGTCGATGCAAGGCGTCGGCGTGATGCGGTAAAGGCGTGACAAAACGTGAATTCATAGGTCGGTCCGAATTCCGAAGGCGGCGTTTGCCAAACTGTTTATGGAAACTGATCGAACCACCCCGCAACTGTCATTAATGCGGCCACCATTTAACAGACCTGGTTTATTTTTTGTAGCAATACGAAGAGACAAATGTGGGCACTCATGGATTTGCACCTAGTAATAGTACTAGTACCAGCGCTAGCACGTGAGAAGTGCAAGAAAGACAATGATTAGCAAAAAGCAGAGACCGCCTGAATTGAATAACAAAGAAAAGAAAGAAGGATTGGGTCTTCCTGTATTTTGCCAAGCGATCCAAATTCAGTTCGTGTCTGCTGCTCTAGCTTGATGCCGCGTGCCCGTGCTCGGCTAGAACACAGCCGCTCAGGATCTCCGACGATGTGCAGCACGTCCTCACAAGCTGGGTCTGCGGAGCAAGAAAAGGAAGCAATATGTACGGAACAAATACCAAGCAGTACCAAGACTAGATTGGTTTTGATCTTTTAGGTGGAGAAGTAGTGTTCGGACTACTATTAAAATCGAATGACTAAATCTAGGAAAAGATGCATAATTAATCGATGCGAAGTGAATAATCTAATAAATATGGCTTGAGCGCTGAGGTCAGCTCGACGGCATGACGATGTTCACACGGATCAGTCGGCCTAGGTGACGACATGAGGCCGGCCAGCCCGATGTTGCATACAAGTTTTTACAAAATATCTCTGCAAAAATGATGCAGTGCAAAACAACAGAAGAAAAATTTAGGAGCTAATTGAATAGTTAGGAAAAATAAAACATGTTTGACGGCCATGACTGTAGCAGATGG